CAGCTGGGTGTCATCAGGCTCCATGGCATTAGGCCTTTGGCATATAAAGATGACATGGGTTATGTTTAAAATTGGTCTTACAGTACTATTACCTGCAATTTATAATTCTGCCATAGCACAGGTTCCCAAATGATATATAAAAAGCTGGTGTACCATAACAAATGACATGGCTGGTGGACAGCTGATTGTATCTCAGGACACTCCCTGGTTTTCTGCTTAACAAATAGTGGGTTTGACCATGACTGTCCTGATATATGCCAGAGACTTCCAATTTAGGTATCTGGTAATTCCTGGGACAGATTCCTTCATATAAGATTGAGTATACTGAAGACTTGCAAGTAACCTCTTACATCTCCTTGGCTTTGCCTGCTAGTATGTTTATGGAGTGTGTCTATTTGTCCTGAGGATACCTCATCCACACTTAAATAGGCCTCTGAAAATACCTTTGGTTGAATAAGCCTGTTAATATCCCACCACAGATCAGTAAAGGAAGCAGCCAATCCCACTGGACTTTCTGAAGACTGTTGCAGGAAAAAAAGGGGGGCAACCATTTGGCCAAAAGGACTAAAGCATCCACAACTACACTCTTAGTTTGAAGAGATACTTCATCCAGGAACAGGTAGACAATCTTCACTCATTAAACAAATGACCTTAAGTGTCAGATTTTTGGAAACATTTATGACGTCATATGGCTTATTTAGCCTATATGAACATAAATTAGTATCGGTTGTAATAAGTGTATTCCTCATACTCCCAATTCCATCAAAAAGTTATTGAGTGGCTGTCAAAGTGGTCAGTGTAAGCAAAGATGACACAATCGGATCTCTTGGGGGAGAAAAACACTATTTTGTTGTATAGACAAAGAGTTATAAGGTTTTCATTCAATGTCAGCTCAGTTTGTTTTAACAATACAAAAAACAATACAAAACTAAAGGAATAAGATAGTTGGTCCCACGAGGCACTCAGAAGGCAAAACCAGTTTTATTTTCTTGAGAATAATAATAAAAATATTTTTCTTTTGGGTCTATAAAATAAGATGCTCATTGGCTATTATCATCTTTACAAATGACTGATTTGAACAATGATGTTCTGATTTAGAAAGCTTCTCAGCAAAGGGATCTCAAGTCTAATTCCACCTGCACTGTGTTTCTATAATCCTCTTTTGCCACCACGACCTTGGACTTACACCAGCATCTATCTCTGAATGGATTACTTTTCCAGAGCAATTAATTACTCAGCTCAGATTCATGTTCTTCTTGAAGACTGGGAAGAAGTAAACCTTTTCCACTTTGTCTATCATATTATCCAACATCCTGCTACATTGATTAGCTCCAGAGCAGACTATAGGGATGTGTATGGATTCTGGGACAGAACATCATCCTTATGAGTTCTCTTTGTCCTGTGGCTATGGAGGTATGAATGACCCAGAATCACAGCTGCTAGGTCCTCAACAGAGACCACAAAGAGATGGAAGCAAGCGTCTGCTCTCCTCCAGATGTGAACTGTCTAAACCTTATCCTCTGAAGGTTTCCTTTCTAATCCATTTTAGGAGAAATGTCTTTAAAACCTGGTTTTAATACCTATTTTCTAGAGAATCCTAAATATAGTCATTATGACTTTTCCTTAAAGAATGTTTCTACCCTTTGATAGTGGAATCATTAAAATCTATAGAATCATAGCATACATGACAATTGCTAGTGATATACTTTGATCTTGGACCTCTCATCCCCCAAATTATCCTTCCCTGAAGAGATACATTTGTTCAGGTCAGGATACAATTCTTTGTATATCAGAGATAACGTGTGTACTTTGAAAATGCTTAGCTGTGACTATCATGACACATGCTTTTACATATATACTCAAGCCAATTTGAATTAATGTCATCAAAATAAGAAGAGAATATGAAGCTCTAGATTCCTAATCTCAGAAGATCTACTTCATCTGAAGATCATTCATCTTGATTAATAGCCACAATGTCCCTGTCTATAGACACAGGATTCTCATTTACAAATGTAGAGTGGGTTTAGTCAGGTATAGTGGTACATACTTAAACTCTCACCACTTGAGAGGCTGTGGAAATAGCATCATGGGTTTGAGAACATTCTTGGATACCTAGCAAGAATCTACATCAAAATATTAAATCAAATAATAAAACCCTCAAGGGGATACCATGTGTTTGTATACATGTGTGGAGGTGCTTGACACACAGGTTTCCTTCTTTGTGAATGCAGCTTATGTTTCTAAAAGTTAGTGTTTTGGAATTAAAAGATTTTAAATATGCAAAACACAATGGCACTCATAAATAATGACAACTTTCAGAAATATTTTTATGTAGATCCCATATATGTCTATTACAAGAAAATAATTTAAGATGTCTGTGAATAATTTGATGAGGTACTATACCCAGAAAAATTGTGAAATGGATAATTTAACTGAAGAATATGAGAGTAAGAGAATTATACACGTGGGTAAATTTCCCCATGTCTGTCACAAATGTCAATCTCCACAGGTACTTAACTCTCTGTCAACTTTTTGTAAGCTGCATGTGAAATTGAGCAACTATGTAGCAGGCCACTAGATGGCACCATGCACAAATAATTTTTCTACCCACCCACAGCAAGCAAGGCTTTCCTCAGAAGCTCTGTAGAAGTCAGACATGATGCCAGAGAGGTGAAGATGAAGCTCCCTCTAAAATGAGCTGTGACAGGTGAACCTTGTATGTTGGAAAGCAGTGCTCTAACAACTGCTATTTGCTTCTAAAGGAGAAAGAGCAGATTGCTTAGTGAAAATTATTTGCTGTATGGTATGTTATAGTTTAGAAACTGTCATTCACATGATAGAAAGTAGTTTTATGACAAATGATTCCTTCGTAAGAGATCAGTCATTTTTTCCTTTTCCTGTTGTGAGAATCTCAATAGAAAAGCCAGTATCTCTCAAGGCTTGAACCCGAGGACTCTGGAAAGATTCAATAGTGTTGCTTTGGTTATTTTCAGTATTTCTCTGTTGGTTACTTAACAGTTTTTAGGATAAATTAACCAGAATAGCAACATATTTGTTCCACTTAGCACAAAGCATTGATGTTACACAGAACATCCAGTCCAGATCTCTCAGTTTGGATTTCTTTGATGGTTCCAAAATCCAAGTAGTGAAGAGGAATCATCACACTTGTTTCAAGAGGCAACAATGTATGAGTCTTTCTTCCTCTTGCTTTTTAAGAATATCAATCTCTTAAACTCATGGCTACAGGCATCAGCCACTGAACTTGCTTAGGAGTACAGAATTCCCCTTCCACAATCAGTGGGACCAGGATTTTTACGTATGAATATGGTTAGAGAAAGAGATTGTAGAATACATCTCTAAAGAGAAGAAAAATAGCATGAAGGAAGAGTCTCCACAACTGTATCCACAGTTCTTTAATGACTAAGATGGAAGAGTCAGAGAATATCAGGAAGTAAAAGAATTGGAGGGGTATAAGGCAAAATGATTTCCAATTGACATCACTCCTCAACCTGGATGCTTCCAGCTCCAAAGTACACCACAGCCGCATTTTGAAATTTCTGACCTAAGGAAATTGGGTGCTTCCTATTTAACTGTGTCTGTGACTGTGGGGTTGCTAATTTTTCATTCACCATCTGCTGAATGGAGTTACTATATCAAAACAAAGCAATCAACCAAGCAAAAACCAGGATGGTCTCAAGGAGAACTCATAGTATGCACAACTAACATTTCATAGGGTTACAGAGCTAATAGAGCTCTATAAATACAACTGAATATTATTAAAGCAAAGATTAAGAAAGAAAGAAAAATGATACCAATTCCTTCAGCTGCATGGGTCTTTTGTAGAAATGGTCTTGAGATCTCGAGATCAATAAATGAATAAAGTAGAATTTATAATTATTGGAAAGCTGGAGGGTAGGGCCCCACCACAGGTCAAGACAGTGATAAAAGGATGCCATCTCTTAGTGAACAATGTCATGTAACAATGATACAAAGCCAAACAAATAAATGTACATTGAAGTAATCCCTGTTCAAGTCAATCCTGCCTGCAAGATATAAAAGGCTGATGACATCACAGTGAGAGATTAGTATTGTGGAACACTGAGATGATCTGGTCTTACCCCATAGTTTACAAAGGACAATGAGCTCCAGTGAATTTTAATGTTCTCCCCAAAGTCACACAGCCAGACAGGGACCAACTCCACAAGGATAACTGGTTTCCTGATTCAGACACTGTTACCCATAACCACACTGCCTCCCAGATAGACAGCCACAAGAGTAAATGAACTTTACATAGAGAACTCTCCTCATGATAAGAGAAAGGACAGAAAGACTCTGACCAAGCAAGTTAAAGAGCAGACATAGCCAGTGAGCATTTCTGTCTTTTCCACCACAGAATGGTAGATCAAAGGTCAAGGAAGCAAAAGCTATTGAACTAAACTGGTAACGAAGCCCACCTTTTTAGGCAAGAAAGGGAGGCAGGTCTAGTCAACACCAAACACTAACAGTATTGCTAACTAAAACAAAAGAAAAATCTTTTTACTAGAATATTTGTTATAATCAATAATAATGATAATTTTTTTTAAAAAACACTTGAAATTGCTTATTACAAACACACATATGGTACAGAAATGTTTGTGTGGAGGAACATGAGTCGCTACCTCCCCTATAATGCTACAGCTCTGTTCCCAAAGGATACCACCTGGGTTCCCCCATGACGTCAGGAATTTTAGCAATTTCTCCTTTACATTTAGATTCTCCACTTCCCTGATACCAATGCCAACACTGGTCCAACAAGTTTCAGAAACAGAACACTGATGGGAAGATTATCTGAGACACTTGATGTACACGATTTGTAGCAAAAGTCTGTGATTTCTCTGTAAATTACTAATCTGAAATAGACACAATAAACCGTCCACAGCTTCAACTTCAAATGATCTAAACAAAAATAGAACAAGCCATGGACAGTGTCTGCATCCCTGTCCAATTTGATGTAAACAACATTTGTAGAAACTGGGTTTGTTAAGAAAGTTTATCCATACATCTGGATAGCAATAAAAAGCGTTTCCTAGGAAACTGTAAGATCCTGTACCATACAGCATACAGCCCAACAAAGAGAAAATTAGATCGATTCTTAAATTCAAGGTACAAATTTACACAACTTTTCTTAATTCCCGTGGTGGTGCTGTCTGAATGAAGTGGGCATGTACCTTGGTGGTTGTATCTGTCCCCCACATTTCCTGTTGCCGTCTTGCCTGTAAAGCGCCTTGGTCCTATCTGGATTTCCTCCTCAGATGTGATTCCCCTGAACACAGATTCCCTGTGTAATTTTGTCCTTTTATGTCAGTTCCAGTGTGGTCAATACTGTCCTTCTGCTGCCAAGGACACTACTGTTTCATGTCTTCCCATTTCTTCCAGGACAGCTGCCAGCATGCTCAGGTTTCCATCTGGGAAGTTTTGTGCTTCCCAAAGATCCAGGATTACGCCAGTTGGGCTCGATTTGGTGGCAAAGTAATTCAAGTACCTGCAATCGGGAATGGGAAAATATGCTTATAGGTGTGATTTACAGGTCTATTTACAGTATTATCTTCTCTGCGTCTGTGCTAAACCTGTCTGTCTTGAAGTATTTCAGTCCCACTGTGGATTCTAGTGAACTCCACTTAATGATTGCTCCATTCCTAATTAGATCAGCCCCAGACAGGACATGTGCTGTTTAACTTTGTTAACCTCAACTCTGAATAGGATAATTTAAGAGACAATGTGTCTGTGGGGTTTGTCCGAAACAGGAAATCAAGAGGCTTATTTTTTTTTCCAGCCCAGGCTCTGATGATCTTTGACAGGTCATGCCACATCTCTTCCTTGGAGGTGACAGATATATTCTACAATGCAGTGGCTCTCAGGGTCTCTTTATAACTTAATAGAAGTGCTTGTGTGAGCATGTAAATTATTCATTACACATTACATCTTGTTCAACTGGCGATGGATGAACAATAATGTAGTGAATAGACATCATATTTAGGAGCTCTTAGCACATGAGCTAGACAAAGTAGATCTTGACACTGATAAATGTCATATAACCCAGAACTTCTCAGAACTGTTTGGAAGCTCACAGTACAAGGTGAACAAGAGCTTAATACATACTTTTAGAATGAAAACGTAAGCAGGTATGTAGTGGGAAGAAAAATAGTGCTGCTTTCTATCTAACTCTCTTGAGTCCTAGGGACAGACCTCTGCCAAATCAAAGCAGTAGGTCCAGAAGCCTAGGAACACTCACCTGTCCAGGTTGAGTTTATGGGCCAGCATCCTCCAGTCATGGCCTCTTGTTTGAGGGGCATCCAGGCTGCTGCATAGCTTCTGCCGGATAGGGAGAGGGATGCTGAAAGCACTTGGTCCAGTGACAGTGGTGATGGTACTAGCAGGGTCCAGGAGAGGCAAATCGATGCCAGTAGGTTCCTGTAGAAATGACACAACTTTATTTTCAGAAGACAAGTGTAATCCCTGTTGACTCAGTCAGCATAATGCTTGACTCTCAGTTGGATATTCTCTCTATCCAACTTGAGATGGATACAAAGAGTAAGTTCTGTTCTCTTCAGAAACGACAGTTTCTTCCTGGCCTAGAAATATTGAGTTAGTATAGGCAGGACATTGGGAGGTAGTTTTGTATAGCCTGTGTTCATGGGTCATAGGTCAGGACTGGGCAGGACATTTTTGAAAGCTCTGGTGAGATTCCATAGTGTCTTCCCTAATGAGACACTCTAAGACAGCAACTCTCAAACTGTGGAAAATATAAACTTCTAGTGACCATAGGAACTGAGATATTTCTCAGTATCAAGATTATAGATATGAATTAGCAACATAAATAAATTTATGTTTGGGAATTTCTAAGACCATCAGAAATATGTGTTTTCTGATGGTCTCAGCCCACTGATTGAGAACTGCTGCTTTGGGAAGGGAGAAGAGAGGGAATGTCTGTTTCTGAAGGGTTAGGTGTTGGAAATGCTCAAAAGGGAAGTTTTTTTCTGAAGGAATAAATAGATCTGAGATGAATAAGATCTTTTAGAAACCATCTAACTCTAAATGCATCCTCTCTGTGAACATGTAGGAAACTCCATCTAGCCCTGGGAAGGTGGTTCCCTCCACCTCTTGCTTGATAAAATGGGACGATGTTAAGAGATATCAAATTAAGACATACTTAAAAAAAGAGAAGAAAATAGTAAACACAGAATATTGCCTTAGGGCAAGCCACTAATGGTATCCTCTAATTGCAGAACCTCCTTGCTTATTTTTTTAAATCTAATTTTAGTAGAGAAAACTATAAATTGGCTCTTAAAATAGTTTCAGCTCATAAAGCAGCACAAATGCAAAATCTAAATTTCATCTGCAAGAGAAACTCTAATCATTTTCTGATCACTTCTGCTGGTCTGAAAGCAAGAGGAACTGTTGCCTGGGAACCATTAAAGCAATAACAAGAGCTCTTCTTGATCTGCTTTGAATGTCACCTCTTTTTATTTTTTGGCTGATAATGCCTTGGGGTGCACAAGTAGTTGCTGGAGGAGACACTAGACGCAGAGCCCAGGTCATCCTGGACTCTATGATGTCCTTCTAAGCACTCAGGTTAGTGGGGGGCATTACCACTGCTGTTAGAGCCTCATGTCCTGCCCTGATTCTGAGGCTCTGAAGACTTGGGATCATGGGAGCTTTGAGGAGCATGTAGGACCCTCTCAGCTGGCAGACTCCAAAGTGTGACCCACAGGGTGGTCTGCTTTTTGGGGATCAACTTCTATAATCCTTCTGGATGAGACCCATTAAGAAGTTGGTGAACATGTTAGAACATGTTTTTTGTTTGTTTGTTTTGTTGTTGTTATTTTTATTACAGAATGTACACAATAGTCTTGGCTTTGATCAAAGTATCAGGGCTCAGAACCTATAGCTTGGCAAAGACATGGTGCTGGCTCTTATATATTATCTCTGGCTCCATGGCTAGACTATGGGCAGCCGCTCAGAAGTATCCAGTAGGATTAGAGAGCTCTGATGAGACTCAAAACCTGCAGCTCTTTCCCCTCAGGCACAGAGTTCTGCCAAAAAGCATGAGTTCATAACCTCCAGGGTCACAAGGCTTCAAAAAGGCAAGCAGCAAGTCATTCAGGGGCACATATCAATGCTTATTAGTGGATTCATGTTGGAAATGTTAGGCCACAAGGGTTACAATGATTATATTGGGCACAGCAATATGCATGACTGCATTGCTGTGGGAGAGCAGAGAAGTTCCACACTATAACTACAGAGTTTAGTGACGTCACCCTGGTTCAAGTCCTCTTGTTCCTTTATGAGAAATGAAAATTCCAACTACTCCTTAGGCCCAGGAGGGAAACCTACCATCCCCTCAGGTACATTCTCATATGGATTGTCCTTGGATGGGAGTGGAGGGTGAAGCACAGGGAGTAATTAGCTTGTGAAGCATGGACTCTTGTCCCCAAAGAGTTTGCTTATCATGGTCGGCCACAGTGTCTTCCTGCTGCTTGCCTGTGCTCCACCCTGCACTCCTCCCAGCCTGTCTAACCACAGGGCTTATCCTGTGAACCACTCTTCCCTGACCCTCTCTCCTACTTATTCAGGCAAGGAAGTGTTTAATATCCTTTGCATTCCAACCTTCTCTGTGTGTGTGTGTGTGTGTACGTGTGTATGTGCACTTTCATAGCTGCACATGCATGAGGAAAAACTGTGAATATTCCTCAGGTACTATAGTGATTTAGCTTTTGAGTTTATATCTCATCTAGAAGGCTAGGCTGCCTCCCTATTAAGTACAAGAAGCTCAAGGCATTCCTTTGTCTTCTCCCTGTTTCAGTGTTGGGATTATTAATGTATGTTATACCATGTCTAGTGTTCTTATTTTTATTTTTTATATGGGTTCTTGAGATCAAAATTAGGTTCTCCAACTTTATCAATGGATCCATCTCCCCAATTCTAACATTTTAACATGTATTGAACTGCATGTGGTTAATGTTCTGACTTCACAGAAGCATAAAGGGTGAAGTGACTGAATCTCGTCACTCTTTTCTTTAACCATAATCTTTTCCACTCTCCAGTTCTTAGTGTTTCATTTTCAGGTCAGTGTCTTATTGTTGTTTTTTGTTTGAGAGAGAGGAAGGGCATACACACATGGATTTGCTCATCTGCTGTTTGGCTTATTTTACCTAACATAATGGCCTCCATCCAGTTCTACCCCTTTCAAGGCAAATTACAGGGTCCCATTATTCTCTATGACTGACTAATGCTCCATTGTTATACACAGTATATACATTTTGTTGTGGGTGGCAAGGCTGAATCTATGCCTTAACTATTGTGAGTTTTGCTGCAATACACAAGGCACATAGGCATGTTTGATTAGGCATGCTAGTTCAATTTCCTCTGGTTATATACTGAGAAGTGGATCATACAGTGGGCTATTTTTAGTAATTTTAGGCACCTTTATAATGCCTGTACTAATTATATTCCCATCAACAATGTGAGCGTCCCTTTTGGCCACATGCTCATTAGCATTTACTGTTGGTCACTTTGATCATAGCCCTACTAACTGGGGTGAATGACATCACACAGTGGCTTTGATTTGTATTCCCTCATGGCTAACTGAGCAATATTTCCCATGTATGTTGGCCATTCATATTCTTTTGAGAAGGGCCTTTGGTTATAATTTGCTCATTTTAAACGTGAAAACAATTTTTTTTAGTTCTTTCTATTTTCTGGATAAGAGCCAGTCACATTTAAAGCTAGCATGTGTTTTCTCTGATCCTATAGGTCTCTCTCCATGAACTGATCATTTTCTTTGCTGTGCAAAAACTTTGTAATTTGAGATGATCCTAGCTGTCATTTTTTTCCCCTCTATTTCCCAAGGTTTTGTTTTCCTATCCAGAAAATCATCACCTTGAACAAGGTTTTGAGTTTTTCTCATTGTGTTTATCTTCCAGTACTTTTCATATTTCAGGTTTGGTTTTGTGTGTACGGGAGGAGGATTATGTCTCAGTCTTCTACATGTGTTGATTTCCCACAACATCATGTGTTAAGGAGGCTGTCCTCAGTCCAGTGTGCAGCGTTGGTGCCTCCATTGAAAACACCTCAATGTACATGCATATACTTATTTCTGGGGTGCAGCATGACTGACTTTATGCATCTGTGTTGTTTGGAATGCTATGACTTCACCATAAGTGTTTGAATCAGTAATCAGGTATTGTGATAACCCATACATTGCTGATTTCACCCAGGACTGTTTTAGGTATTTATTTTTTAAGAAATATGTTTGAATCTTTATGCATTTTAGGTTTATATTGAACCTGAAGATGACTCTGGATACTATAGACTTTTTAAATTATTGATTTTTGTAATTCATGGACATGGGAGTTTTTTCCATCTTGTATGTGTGTGTGTGCTGTTCAATATTTTTCATGAATGGTTTGTGCTTTTCATTTCAGAACTTCTCTGCTTCCATTAAGTTTATCCCAGGGTATATTTTTTTCCTTCCCTGCCTACTGTAAATAGCTCTGTAATTTCTCTCCATAATTCATCTTTGATGTATAAATATGCCAATCACTTTTGCAAGTTAATTTTTTATCTGAGTATTGAATTATCAATTATTATACTCTTTGGGGGCTATTTTTCTATGGATAGAATTATACCATGAGTATAAAGAAAGACTTTAAATTTTTCTTCCCAATTTGTTTGTCCTTTTTTCTCTTGTCAAACTGTTCTGCATATTTGTATCATTCTAAGTAAGAGATACAAAAGTAGATACTTAATATATGTGCTCCTGTCTTAAAGGAAAATACCTTCAGCTTTCCCCTACTCAGTATGATAAAGTTGTGGGTTTACCATACATTATATTTTATGTTCATATATGCTCCTTCAATATATAATCTGTTCAAAGTTTTAACATCTAGATCTGTTGAATTGTTTTGTGCCATTCCTATATCAGGGATGCACATACAATTTATATCCTTCATTCTGTACATATGATACATGATGCTTAATTTGCATGTATTAAACCATTAAGCCATCCTTTCATCCCTGGGATGAAGCCTCTTGGTCAGAATTTTGTTAGATTTTTTTGTGTCCGTTTTATCATAGGTATTGGTCTTTAGCTATTGCATGTCTAATTTTCTTAAAAAGCAAGGCTTGTATTATAGAATCACCTTCAAGAACTGCTATCTCATGAAAACTGTGGAATAGTGTGAAAAGAATTGGACTTAGTTCTTCTTTAAAAGTTTAGCCCCTAGTTTTGGTTACTCAGTGAGAAATATGTACAGCCCCCACCTAGGGCTATGTGTGTCTCTACAAATGATGGTGGAAGCTGAGCTCCAGTTCTGACTTGGAGTACCGAACCCCTACAACTCTACTTCCCCCATTTCTCAGTCTGGCCCCAGCCTTTCTCAGGTTGCCATCTTGGTGTTACTTGGCCAGATTGAGTGCTGGCACACTCTTCTGCTTCTCATTCCTACTACCACTTCTAAAAGCAGCCCTCTGACAGTCTCTTCCTTTAATCTTACACACGTGGCTTAAATTTGTCCCAAAAGGCATGTGCTATAAACATCTCTCTTCATATATACCAAAACACCCTACCTGGAGAGAGACTGGCCAGGACATGACCATAGCTCTTAAGTATTCCCCAGGTTCACCCCTAAGCAGACTGGATGGGCTGCAAATTCCTTTGCTCTCTTAATTTCTTGGCAGGCAGAGTATTTTATTTGTTGTTTTATCAACAGATTCCCCTGCACTACTCACATGGCACCCTGTACATTGAAGTTATTCAGTTATTGTCTGCCTAAATGAGAGTGAGTGGGTATTTTTTGCTGTGGCAAGGAGACAGTGAAACCATGAAACCCATTCCTGATAAATTCCACCTGCAGAATAGGGAGTTCTGTTTCCTTCTAACTAAATGTGAATGAGGGCTTGATTCTTCTCATTGGTAAACCTTGAGTGTAAAGAAAGGCTAGTTTAAAATAGATATGGGTCTCAGGAAAGTCTTACACACTCAGCTTTCTTGTTGAGTAAGGAACCAGCATCATTTTATGTGGGCATCGGCCTAACTCCTAACTTGGTTACTCGGCCTGTGTCTCTGTGTCTATGAAATAAGCTTTGTAGTACACTTATTGGATGACTGATAGTATACTTTATAATACATTGAAAGTAATCTGAGAAAACACACATACACACTTATGTTTAAATTTCATGTAGTAATTTTCATTTGCTATTGACTTTTCCTTTTCTTCCAGGTATAAGTAGAGATTACTCTCACAAAATGTTTATTACAATAATCTTTTATGATAGTGGAACCATCTGCTTTTGATGTTATAATTTTCTTAGTTAACCATATGATTTTTCAGCATTAACCAAACATCTGTTCTGGGTGATCAACCCACAACTTTAGTTGGCTGGTAGTTTTCTTTATATAGTTTATGGAAGCCATAAACCCCCTTTACATTTTAAGATTGTTCCTTCCCTCCCTCCCTCCCTCCCTCCCTCCCTCCCTCCCTCCCTCCCTTCCATCGTTCCTTCCTTCCTCTGTCTCTGTCTCTTTCTCCCTCTATCCTTCTTTCTAGCTTTTTGAGACAGGATTTCTCTGTGTAGCCCTGGCTATCCCGGAAGTCACCCTCTAGACCAGACTGAACTTGAAGTCAGATATTTGTGACCTGCAATGTGGGTACTGGAGCTATACTCAGGTCTTGTGCAAGAACAGCAAGTGCTCTGAACCATCTGTATTTTGAGAACAGGATACTTAAGCTGGCAATGGATTCCATTGATCCAAGAGGCAGTGCTTGCTAAAACCAGTTATTCCAATAGAAGAATAGTGGATATGATTATTTTATGTGCTACAGAGCAAGTTCTTAACATGCTTAAGAGCATGTCTTAAACATTCAGGTATTGAATTTTCTCAACAGCCCTAAGAAATACTGGTATCCTAGGTAAAGCATAAGAAGATGATAAGGGGACAATAATTGGGTATATTCCTACTGAACTGTTCTCATGGGATTTTATTATGTTTGGTCTTTGTCTACTGCTAAAATGATACCAAGCTAAAACAACAGTTCAAGTTTTCCTTCCTTCTTTATACCATATTTTCACTTTGGACAACTTTTTTACCCCATTCCTATCTAAAGAAACAAAAAATGAAATATCTTTCATCTTTACATCCATTCAAACCAATATTTTAGACTTCTAGGTATTTTCCTTCTTAAACCTCTTCCCTTCAGTGAGCGGCTTTTAGGAGCATCTGGTAAAGGGGACCTGGAAGAACAAATAGTGGCTCCTGAGAAAACCATGCTGTATGCATGTCCTGTCCAGACTGGTCCCTGCGATAGGCAAAGGTTCTATTCCAGGCTCTAGAGGCCCTGAGTTGTGTGATTTTATAAATGACTGCTTGCTGGTGAGTGACCTTCATTAGTAGGTCACTAGTGGTAAAAGGAAAACACAATGTATTCTAAACAAGACAGATAATTCTCTGGGGATATGACATTGAAATTAGAATGCCTTAGACTCTGTTAGCTTGCCTTGTGAGCAGTGCTCAGAAGCAAAGTAACCACAAATGAAGCCTTTTCTCTATTTATACCAACTTATGAATCATACTGGGCTACTTCTCAGTTTCTGATGAGGACTTGGGTCACTAGACTCCCCAGAGCCCATTGATCTTCTGTCTGGGGCCTCACATCCCTCCAGCATCAGCATCAGTACCAGAAACCTCCTCCCTGTTCCAAAATCTGCATTCAAAGGATAACCACAATGATGGAACCCAGAAGTACAAGCAGTAGAGTGCTCCAGTAGAGTGCTGCAAAGTTTTTCCTAGTCTGGTCATTTCTTCCATCCTGAGTTTCACGTGCTTGTCTGTCACACATGGGCAAATGCCTGCCGCGTGACTACAGGGATGGCCTCTGAGCTGACTGCCAAGTTGCAAAAGCAATAATCTTTTCTCTGTGTTGGCACCAGAAAGGAGTCCTTAAGTTGTGATCACACTTTGCAAAACTGCCCTTTCTGTGTGAGGAGCTAGCAGCCTTCCCTGGTGGGGGAGAACTCAGAGCAGCTCTCATTTCTTTGTGGCTACATCTGATCCACCTTTTCAGGGAGCAGCAAATGTTCACGCTGAACAGAAAGCACGCATCAAAGGGCCAGACTCCTCGCCCCCCTCCAAAATTCCACAGCCTTTGTTGTCACAGGAGCTGGGTGGTTATTGAACTTTGCAGACCTGCTGGGCCAGGAAAGTGAAAACACCCTCCGAAGCCAGCAGGGGTGGTGCTCTGTGCCTGGGAGATAGGACTGTGCATCCAAAGGCCCGGCGGTTGCCATGGCACCCTGACACAGAGATCATTCCTTATGAATGTCACTGAGGTCTGTGACTAAAGTTGTTTATGAGTCAAAAGTCTCATGAAACTACAGGAGGAGAGGATGGCTGCACCTCACAGGCTGTGGGAAAGAAGACTGGAGCTTCAATGAGCTCACACACCCCCACCCCACCTCTGCCTTCTTTGCTAAGGATGATCATCTTTAAATAGGACATGTGGCACAAGACAGGCCAAACAGACTGACATTGCAGTCATCTCCAAGCAGAAGGAAAAAAAAAAAAAAAACATGTTTTAAATCACACTCCGCTGGCTGTAGTAGTGTTCATGGGCTTTGACGCTCACACAGCAGCATGGAGCTGGGCTCCAAGGGGCCTCAAGGGGCAGCTTTCTGAGCAAATGGCTTATTCATCCTCCTTTGTTCCTCCAACATGAAGGCTTACCGCTTTTCAAACCATAGTCCTTGCATCCAAAGAGGACAGAGAAGGTCATGGGTACCTCCTATTTCCTTACAGAGAGGTTTGAAATAACAGCAACTATTGTTACTGCTGGAATATGAATGTATAAAAATGCCCAGCTGCATGTGTGAAAATCTTAGCGGACAAAGGCAAAAACTGACTGCTATGGAGAGTATGGATTAAAACGGACCACTATAGAGAGTATGGATTTTCTTCTATTTCTGGAGTACCTCCCCAACTCTGGTGTAAAATACATCTTCTCTGATATTTGGAGGTTAGAGAAAGAAAGGAGACCTAAAAGCTTCTCCTTTCAATATGGGAGCAAAGAGGGGGTAACAAGCAGCCCTCTTTTCCTTCATTCCACTCAGTAGCACATGACTACAACAAAATGACAGAAGTTGAAAGCTAGGCAGATGAAGGATGCTGGTGGAAAGTTCCACGTGTATGCTACTAAAACCTTGCACTTGAAGTCCAGATCTCAATTGTGTTTCTCTTGTAGTGTGTTAAAACATGGTCTCACTATGTGGCTATGGCTGGCCTACAACTCACAACTTAGGCTAAGCTAGCCTTGGATTTGAAGCAATTCTCAGGAGTGTTGGGGATTACCAGGATTTACTGTCATGTCTTGTTCTCAGATCTCTTTTTATAAGTTACAGTATGAGTCTTGAATGGATGGCATAAGAAAACTTAGTTTTGAAAAAAACAGTTCCTCTCCCTGTTGCATTAAGCACACAGGAACAGCTTGGGTAGTCTTCCATGTTACTTACACAGGGAAAGCTTTGCCCACCCCTAACCATTCTTTCCCAGGATCCTGGAGAGGATCCTAAGAGTATCTTACCTCTGACACAGTACAGTTAAGCTGGAAGATCTGCCCTTCTCCTTCAACCTGCCGCACACAGAGTTTGCAAACCAGCTCCACTGTGTTTAGGCTGAGTCTTTCCAGAGTGAAGGTGCAGTGGAGGTTTCTTTGAGAGCCACTCCAGATATGGTAAAATGGAATTTCCTGGAAGACATGGGATGGTAACCATAAACAAGAGATACTGGGTGTGTTGATCAAACAGTAGAACTTTTCAGGTTTTCACCTCATCCAACTTCATGACTGCTCTCTGCCCAAAGATAGCCTCACCTCTCCTCACATAAGAAAACGGATGCAGAGAGGTTAAAGAACAGCTGATATCGAAAAGGGAGGAAGTTGATTAGTTGAGTCTGGAACCCATGGAATCAACTCTAGAAACCACACCTAACCAGAGTATCTCACGTTGAAAAACTACCATTGTTGAAGAGGTGATTAAAAAGCTTAGAAAGATCCTAAAATAAATCTTCCACACTCTATCATTTCTCACTTAAAAAAAAATCCCTAGTGTGATGTATTAGAGAAGGGCAGAGCTAGCCCCAGGATGTTGTGATGTCCCACAACTTTTCACGCCTTTACCTTTGCCTAGGGCAGTGGTAGCTAAAAGTAACTCGTGTTGGAAATCAGTCCTCACAGAACAGTCCTTAGCCTGAGAGGCATAAAACCTGTACCAGATAACTCACTCCTCACTGTCGAAATTACTGTACAGTGTCAATCCTATACACTTGTGGTAATTAAGCCAAAGAAAGGATTCATGAATGAATATGGTGTTTAGTTTGAGGTTCTGGTGCCAAATCCAGAACCGGTGAATGACAGGGCCATTCACTGATGTACCATGTAAGCCACCAAACTTTGGTTCCTGCAAAGTGCAGGGGTGTTGCTAGCTAGCAAGATGGAAAACCAATGAATGTCAGATGAGATAGCAGTGCCCCATCTCCTCCCTTGGATGCACTTGAAGCTGTTCGTGTTAATACAGTGAATGCTGAAAACTAACTTACTAAAATAACAGTACAGTTACTTTAAGAAGAATATTTTAAAAACTATTCCTTTAAGTATGTTTATTTGATATTTTTCAAAACCCTGGCCCATACTGTTTTGAAGAAATGAGTGTTGGGATGGGAAACAATGGCAATGTCTCCAAGAAAAGAGATATCCATGACCATAAAATCTTAATTATCCATCTCCCAGTAGTTAGTGTCTCTTGGTAGCCTTACCTGATACTTAGCCAGCAATTTGCTCTTCCAGAGGGAATGGGCGATGTCATGAATTGACAGGCGCAGGTTGTGGATGCTGCCTTTAAAATGAAGAGCCTTGGGTTCTTCTAGGAGTTGGCCTCCCATTTGCCTCTCCAGTTGTAGAACTTCCTACAATGACATATCCCAAAGGAAGGTATATTATTGATAGAACTGCCTAATTTCCATCAGACTTCTCATCAAGTAAATTAAGTTTCATCACCATGTCTGTTAGATAGACTACTGTACTTCAATAATGCCATGAATACTACTGCCTGCGGGTCTGAGACCTTGAGTATGAAATCCTGACCATTGTCTTAAGCCACATTGGCAAGTAGCCTGTGTAGGTTACATCATACCACATGTGTGAAAAGTCAGCAGTTTGCTTTTTGTAGTTGGCAAGAAAAGAGACTGACATTGAGAATGGGAAGAGACAGGAATACAAGGGAAATGTTAATAGGAATAGAGATAAACTGATAAGAAAGCAGATTTTCCTTGAAATTTGGTAAAACTGACCAACAACCAACAACAACCGAAAATGTGGATTATTTTAGACACTTAGTTCAGTCATTTATGATTTAGTTAATATACAGAAATGTATAAAGTACCTAAATCATAGTTACTAAGACTGTGTGTGTGTGTGTGTGTGTGTGTACATGCACAAAGGAAAATCTTAAGTGACATTCATTTGATATCCACATTTGTTCAGAGATAGGGTTTCTCAGTAGCCTGGATCTCTTCAAATAGGCTAGGCAGGGGACCTCCGAGGTTGACTCTTCTGTTTCCCTGGTATTGAGATTACAAGCATGTGCTATCATACTCAACAATTTTTGTAGCATAGGTTCTTTGATTGCATGGCCAGAACATTATCTAAAGAGCTCAAAGGAGGATATATATCCTATTAGAGAAAAACCTTTGCATAGAGATAATGAAGACTGAAAACAATATTTTCTGAACCAAACACCTACCTAGATTAGAGTTTTAAAAAGCCTGCCCCATCTCTCAAAAATTCTAGGTGAAGAAACCCCACTCCAGTCTTCATTTACAGCATAAAGATGTTACAGGAAGACAAAGTCTATATTCACATCCATTTCTCAAGCTGCTTAATGGGACTTAATGAAGCATTTCCAACTACAGCTGAAATTATCCAAACAGTAGCTTTCTATAAGTTATTAATATCAATGCATGAAATGAACCTCCCTTGTACTTCTCTCATGCTACCAAAGTTTTAATGATTAAAATATTGTGAAATTTATGACCTCTTAAAAGTGGGGATTCTGGAAAATGACCATAATTGTAAATAAGATAAAGCAAAATATGGTTGTCTTTGGTGGTGATATTTCTCCTAACAATAGGAAATTAAAGAATACAGACATCCATTCAGAATGCTATCTGCGTGCACTGAAAAATCATCCAAGGTATGAAATACAGAAGGACCACAGGGGACAAGTTGGGTCTATGTTGCAAGATACCCAGAGAAGCCACACTCTGGCCATCTAGTCACTACTGAGCTCAATATCATCATGGATAAAATGCAAACAGCTCTGTGAAACTGCTGCTTCCTGGGTTCTCAGCTGCCATCACCAACTGCTGAAAGGCACTTTGAGGCATAGAAAATACTAGGATAATGGGGAACATAGTCTCAGATAGGGAATCCTCTAATTAGTGTCTAATGGAAATCATGAGGCAAGATCCCTCTGGTACAGATGAGTGTGTGGTCCAGATGTCTGATAGTATTGACCTGCTCTCCTCCATGGCTGCCGATGAGTAGCTATTACTTGTGACAGGAGCTGAGCAGCCAGCTACCCACCCTGACACAGAATCCTTGTCACTATGCCCTAGGTCTGCTGTGCTTACCTCAGCAAACTCCCAGAGTCCCCAGTAGGACCTACAGATCTAGCCAGCCCACTATCACACATAGCCACCCTCCTCTGCACACCCCATTCACTGACAAGAATCTTCTGTCAGCCTGTGGAACAGGGAAGAGATGTGAGGGTTAATTGCAGTTGCTTCTGCTATAGCAGGAACACATAATGAGCTTATGTTGATCATGTTCGGTGTCTAGTTAGCATAATAGAGAAAGCTGATGTTCCCAGTGAACCTGGCACCTGACAAATTCTAAAGCTAAAATGATGTTTGTTTATAAGCCATTAGAAGAAAAGAAACATAATTAGAAATCTTTGAGATTACAGTCATGCCAATCAATCAGTTCTAGCTTCTTTCCAGTATGCCCTAATTACCTCATCAAGACATCTAAAGAGCAATCGATAATAATTATCTGATTACTATAGATCTTCATTACATCCAAATTATCTCCCTGGGATGTCTGAAAGAAGATGCATTGTATTCTGGGAGGTAATTGTACCCAACAATGTAGAATACACACCCCATCCCTACAGTCAACATAGAATGCCAGAAGACAGCTCCTTATCATCATCTGTTTTCTTGCCAGGATGGACAACCTAACAAAATCTTAGCTGCCTGTTGGCCATGACCTTGATCGCAAGAAATTTTGAAAGCTAAGTCTGGGTTGGAGACAGTCCAAGACTAAGGCTAAGTATTCAATTTCTCAGAAGTCATGCTAGGGTGTTTTCTCTCATGAAGAGTGGGCTTAGAGCAGCTTGGGGAGCTCCTTTCAAAGAGAGAAAACAAACAACAAAGTAGCACTTAGTAGCAGTGGGGGCAGAGAATTCTCTCTCTCTCTCTCTCTCTCTCTCTCTCTCTCTCTCTCTCTCTCTTTCTCTCTCTCTCTCTCATCATTTCTCCATCAATCAGGAAGCCCATAATCAGCTGCTGTGCAGAGCTAGAACATGACCTCTTGACCATTTATAAGTAAAACAATAGGATGTATTATCTACCAATAAATACCTGATTGTGAATTTTATTTTAATTTATTCCCAAATTGTAAACCCATATTAGCACATTAATATATCAATGTCATATTAAAGAAAACAAATGTATAAGCTGAGATTAATGAATGCAGAAGTACTAATGTTGTCTTGTGTTAGCCAATGGGGCACTGGGCTTGAGGTGTGTCAACTTGGTCTCTGTCTTAAAGATGGCTGGTATAAGCAGCTGTTCTCACAACAATATCTGAGTGAGGAGTTAAAAAAGGAATATAACTCAAATTTAACATAGATTTTTTCTGAAAAATAGTTGCTAGTGCTACTACAATTAAGATATTCAATGTGACAAAAAAAAAGACCATGATTTACAGGAGACAAGAACCTAACTACTGGCAAGATATGGTGGCATACACTTTTAATCCAGCACTCTTGGGGGGCAGAGGCAAATGGATCTTTGTGAGTTCAAGGCCAGCCTAGTCTACATAGAAAGTTACAGAACAGCTAGAGCTACATATTCAGATGCTGTTTCAAAAAAATAAGATAAAAACACAAAACAACAACAATAACAACAAACAACCAAAGCACTAAAGATACTCAAGCACAGATAAATTATTTCAATGAGTAAGTAGAACTCCTTGGTAATAAAAATCATGTAAATCTACCTGTGAGACAAAATGACAGTCATGTTCACCTGTAAGTTTTATGTCAGAAGAGGTGTCAACCCACAGGACATGCTTCTCAGGCTGTTTTCAGTGCTAGTGCTCAGTGGTCTAATCTGAGATATGCTACGGCAATTTCAACTTAAAAATACACTGTGACTTGTACACAGCACACTTGTCTTTCTGGAATCTTCCTCCATGAAATCATGTTAGTTAATATATGCAATATGAATACAATGATGAAGTAACAATAACTGACATACTCATCAATGAAACATGACTTTACAGATAAATTCTTTCCTTTCATGGTCTTCTTGGAAACAGTCACTCAGTGTCATTGAGATATGTGTCAGGAAGTATGTGGCTTAGCCCACTGCTTCAGTTCTGCATGGTATAGAGACCATGTGAACCTATAACCAGGCTGAAAGGAGATCCACTCTAAAACAGTGTTTTGACAGAATGTTTTTGAGTCACAAAGGTTAGGTTATTTCATATGCCTTAATGGAGAATAAGAACCAAAGGTCAAAAGATTTAGGAAGATTTAGCAAAATACCGTGACCTTGGAAATAAATGTCATAATAAACATCAGGATCATCTAGGTTGTTTGTGCTTAGAAATATAAAGGTCACCTTCCTTTGTTGAGGTTGTCTTTCTTATTGGCAACCAGACTCACTTCTAATAGTTAGTGTCCTGTGTGAACCTACAGATTGCTCTGATAAACTGTCTCTGACTCCTGTTTTACTTTGAAAAGTATCTCAAAAATGACATAAGAGTGATTGACACCAGATCTCTATCTCATTTCTTCATGGGAGCACACGTACATGAATCCTAGAGTAATGTCACCAAGAACTTTCCCTTGGATCTGAGAAGCTACTTGCTGTGGCATCTGCTTCCAACAGAGAGCTGAATGAGGGCTGAATTGATTCTAGAAGCCTAGGAAAGACTGCAGCAAAGGCAGCAACATGGAATTCCACCATAGAAACAAGCAGCTTGCACAATTACCAATTAAACCAAGTCACTATCCATGCCAAGCCATTAGCCTGGGCCACTTAAGAGGTGTCATAAATTTAAACTCTTTTAAAGGCCTATGAGGAAAAATAAAACAGCTCTGGTCTGTTCTTGGGGCTCTCACAGGCTCTCAGAGAGTAAGATATGTCCACATTGGGTCCAGCAGAGAAAGGTCAATGGAGGTATACCTGAGAACCTATGACTCTTATGTTCTCTCTGTACCACCAGAAATTCTCATTTTTCAAGACTGTCCAGCCACGTGGGATTTGCAACTTCTTCCCTCCCTGCCCCTTTTCTCGTAATGGTCCTTCCACCCATGGGCACACTTCCCACTAGAGAAGTCTCACAATTAGGATACCTGTTAAATTTCAGTTTCTTATCACTAAAGATCACTAAATCACTGATAACTTATCACTGGTCACTAGCAAGGGTAGGGAGGAGACAAACCCACCTTTTTGTTTTGATTGTCTACTTGGAACTGTCTCTGTACTTAAAAGAGACTATTTCTATGTTCTATTTCTAACAGAAACAGAAATAGGAATGGGCTCCATCTACTTCTACTAAGGAGCTGGATCAGCAATAACAAGTCCACTGGTGGATATAAGGAGCTACTGTAGAG